AGAGAGAGAGAGAGAGAGAGAGAGAGAAACTCTATGCTAATTTTGTAAAATGTGTGAAACAAAGCTGGACCATAATATGTGGGCTCAGAAAAAAAAATTGTTCAAAGTTTACAATGAAAAATAATTAGGTTCTTTACTTGTAAAAGGTGGCACAATACTGTTGACAAAAGGCTCTACATTAATAAAATAGTTTAATTTATAGTAGAGTATAATTATTTTTTAAAATATTAATTGTGGAAAATAGATTGTGTTTTGCTTCTATGCTTGAAAAAAAAAAAAAAAAAAATAAAAAAACCCAGAGAAAATATGTTCGAGGCATTCGAGGTGCAGGTGAGTTGAAGATGAATTTGATGTTATTATAATATTCCTAGACACATATTTAATTCACGCTATGGTACGGTCATAATGGATGGACGCAGTTTGTAATGATTATGTGTGGTTGTTTTTTCAAGAAGAGCTTACATATTTTGCTTTAGTGTTTACATTTGTAGGAGTCATTTAAATTAGTGTTAACATAATTTGTAGCTATGAATAGAGGTGAGGTTGTGTTCAAATTTAATTTTTTTTTTATTTCGATAGTTTCATAAAAGAAAAGACTCTGTGCTTTACACGTTGACCCCCTGTCTAACTTGAATAACTAGGCAGCACTGATTTCAAAATTAAAAAAAAAAAAAAATCTCTTCTCTTTAATTGTATGTATGATGATTAATAAATAAATAAATTTAAACTAAAGTGGAAAGTCTGTCGCCTTGTTCGTCCGATATAATATTCGTTTCAAATGGTGAGTCCAGTATCTGGGCTATCTGTACAGGAGACAGCTGGACAGAGCTCCTACTCCCTGTTCGGTTTTGACCGGACATGCTACTTTTATCATTAATGTTATAAAACGACAGAACTGGCTGTGGTGTGTAGCAACTTGTTGTGTTGGGATGCTGTGCTTTGGTTAATGTGTTGTTAGTGTTGGAAGGTGTGGTTTGGGTGGCTGGAGTGATGACGTTGTTACCGTCTTGGACTCCATAAGAATTGGATGTTATATGGTTAGATGATGGGTGACTGAACGGTCTGTAACTAGTTGATGCGTTGCTGGATGGCGAATGACCGGATGTCATTGGCAGGGATGATGTGTGGCTGGATAGTATGTGACTGGAAGATGTATAACTGGATGGTGTTTGGCAGGATGTATGACTGGGTGACGTGTGACTGTGTGTTATGTGGCTGTATGATGTGCTGCTTGGGAGTATGCGGCTGGACGCTGTGCTCTCTGATGATGCATGACTGGGTGGTTTGTTGTTCGTTGATGTTTGACGGGATGTTGTGTGGCTGGATGATGTGTAGTTGGATGACGAGTGGCTGTATGGTGTGTGAATGGATGAAATGTGATGGTGACCTGATGGGGTGTTGCTAGGTGGCATTTGAATGGACGGTGTGTGACTAGATGAAATGTGATTGTGACCCGATAGGATGCTGCTGGATGGCATTTGAATTGACGCCGAATGGCTGGAGGGTAAGTGAGTAAATGATGCCTGGAGTGGCGGTGTATGTCTAGGTGGTATATGACTGGTGATGGTAACTGGTCTGCTGTTAAAGTTGATCACCTGTTTCTGAGTGATGCCACTTTGATTGAAGCCCTGATTGTCAGTATTTACACTAGGTATCCCTTGGGTACCGGTATTTAATTTGGAAGCTGCCATGGGATTCGAGTGTTGAAGTTTCCAATTAGATGTCCACATTTTCTCTTGATTTAGATCATGGTTTTCACCATCGGATGGGCGGCGCTCCGATAAGGATGTTGGGGGAAGCCAAGCTTCTGGCAAAGTTTGGTTTTTCGAGTCCATTGTTCTATCCCTATTCAAAGCTAATTGGTTGACGTAGACAGGTTCGTCGTCAGTGTGGTCCGTGCCAGTGTTGGAGTCACGGTCGAGCGATCTGTTTAAAGGAAGAAACTCTTGCGATGCACCTTGTAAATATTGCATCTGTTGGTGCTGTTGAAGTTTCTTCACAGCCTTTGCGTTGAATTCTATTTGTTGGAGTTCAGTTTCTGATGAATATCCGCTTGATTGTCTTTGGAACATTGGTCTGTCAATGTCTGTAACAGCTGATATTGGTATTTGGAACAATGGTCTGTCAATATCTGTAGATGCTGAGACTGATCTTTGGAACATTGGCCTGTCAGTGTCTATAACAGCTGAGACGGGTCTTTGGAACATTGGTCTGTCAATATCTGTGACAGCTGACACTGGCCTTTGGAAGTTGTACCTCTCTAAATCAGCGTGAGCTGACATGACCTGGCTAGATCTTTGATAGGAAATTATGTCATCATCCGATGTGACAGTGTTGGGGAGGGATGAAACACTCGTCCAGGTGGCCGGGGGTACATTGATGGTATGGTCAGCTCTGAGCGGGCCGGGGGGTGGAAAACTCGACAGAGATGAGGGGGGCATTACCACTCTAAGCTTTGGTTTTATTCTCGCAGATTCCTGAATAGATTCCCTACTGGCCGGGTTGTTTTGAGACCAGTTACCGGATGGCAACGAGGAGCGACTGTTGATCTCTACTTTAACGTCAGGGTTTTCATACGCCACGGACTGGGTCGTTGGAACAGGTGGCTTTTTCTGACCCGAGAATAGTTTATAAATATCAGCTGAAGATGCAAACATGTGTCTGCGAGATGCCTGCAGGCATAGTTCAGACGTGGCTCGGATTTGTCGCTGGAGCTGCGGGATATTTCCCAGGTCCAAAGTGGATCTTTCTGTTGATGCCGGCTTGAATCTATCCACTTCTAGAAGCTGCCGGGGGTCAAGCGGGCTACCCGACTGCCACGAAGATCTGTTGGGGTAAGATGCTGAAGCTGGTGGGCGTGATTGCCTCATAACAACATCGTCATCATCAACACCACCATAATATGCCGAGTGACCGAGATCGTACACATCCATGGAGGAACTGTAGAGGGCGTGTTGGTTCAAATAGCGGTTCGACTGAGGTGGTAGTAAGTTCTGCTGTCGCGGCGACTCAACTTGAGGGCGTGCGTTTCCCTGCTGTTCGTAGAGATGTGGCGACTGCTGTCGCAACTGTTCCTGGGGGTGATACTGCTGTGTACTTTGTCGAGGCTGTTGTAGGTGGTGTTGACTGTAGTGTTGGTGCTGCAAAGACTCGGATCCAGCATGTGGCGTCCAGGACCGGTCTCGTAATGTCAAGTCAGGCATTGAACTCATAACAAAGTGCTGCCTGGAACTTTGATGAAACCCCAGAGGAACTGACTCCCTACCTTGTTGTGGTGCTCTGCTGTGTCCAGAGTCTGGACCACCAATTACCTGTCCAAAATTTTGCCCAGACCTTAATTGTTCTAAATCTTGACCATCCCTTAGTTGTCTGAAATCTTGTACACTGCTCAGGTGTCCTATGCCTTGGCCCCCTCTTAACTGTACACTATCTTGCCCACCTCTCAAATGTACAATCTCTTGACCATCATTTGCTTGTCCATAATATTGACCACCCATCTGATATCCTATGTCTTGAACGCCCCTCAGCTGTCCAATGTTTTGACCATCCCTAAGCTGCCCATTAGCTTGACCATATGGGGGCTGTCCTCCCCTTAGCTGTTGAAAAGCTTGACCATCCCATTGATGTTCATGACCCAGGCATCCCGTGGTCTTATAAGATTCATCGCCGAGCGCAGAATATTTCCCTTGGTCAATGTGATTAACACCGGGAAAGCCATCTGTGTCGTCATCAAGAATCAAGCTGAACACGGAGCTGTTTTTGTGACGAGCTGGTGACCCCGTTCCGATTTGCCTGTTAATTTCCATGTCTGGCATATCATCCACCCTGGCATTTGTGAACTTTGGCCTTCCGGCTGGATCGATGTTATGCAAGGGGATCTCGTTGTCTTTTTTAAAGTAGCTAGTGTAGTCCTTCCAGCCATCACCCTCCACACGAGTTGACGCACCACGCTGAAGCGCTTGCACATTTCTACCACCGCTCATAGCAGCTTGGCTGCTTCCATGACTAAACCCATTGCCGGCATGCCGTTGTAAATCTGGCTCAACCGCCAAAGGCTCGGCCCGGAAGTAGCCATCAGGAGGCTCTTGGTGATTGGAGCGTTCGCTGAGATGAAGTTGGTTGTGCCTCGCAAGTCTGGGACTACCCGTGAATTCCTTGGACAGTCGCAGCGAGCCGTTCCTGACAAAAGGATCGGCCGTGTTCTTCCTTTCGAAGAAGCCGAATCCAGAGTCTTCCTCCTCTATGGTGGTAAGGGCGCGAATTCGGTCCTCGAGACTTGCGTCCCACGTTTCCATCTGTGCGTCACGCCTTTTGGCAGGAACTCCGCCATGTTTGTTTACAGATGATCTGCTGCTGCCTTGAAGAGTTGTCCCCCGGTGCATTACGGTTGGACTTCCTAGAACTGTCGTGGTTTGGGCATTTGTCATTTGGCCGCGCGAGGGTCCGTCCACGGAGTTGAGCGAGGACACAGGAGACGAGGTGGGTAAGGTCTTGCCTGGCCGATTGTCCGCACCGTAGCCGTGCGGTGAGGCGGACGAGTTTTTGTCCGTGCCGTATCCCTCGTCCGGGCTTAAAGCGAGTTTTTCCCTCTGCTTGTTGGTGCTCGCCACAATCTCTTGACACGTGACATAATTTTGGGATATGCTCCGACTCAGATCTTCCAGCGAGCCTGGTCTCCCGTCCCCGTATATCGTCCGTGAACTTTTGTCCAAGAGACTGGATTTGACGGGTTCAGAATTTCGCCTCTGAAGTTCCGATGACATCATCATCGTCGTATTTTGGCGACGACCTTCACCCCCAGCTGGCTACGCCGAAAAATAACTGACTCGTAGATACATATGTTGTGCCTAAACCCATATTTGCATCATACACACAAGCAAGAGCTTACATGTCTCGTCGTGAGGTGTTGCGACTGAGCGCCCATCATATGTGCGACTATTGTGTCAAGGTCAGGTCTGTGGTTTAGTCACAACTGTTTCAATAACAGGCGGGGATCACAGCGTGGTCAACGTGTGCACCATTATATCCATGACGTCATAGAATCTGTGAATAAAACAATAGTTCATTTAAAAAACCAATGTTGCTTGTCTTAAACTAGTATGGTAATAATTGGGGCTACAATGTCGCTTGTCTTAAACTAGTATGGTAATAATTTGGGCTACAATGTCGCTTGTCTTAAACTAGTATGGTAATAATTGGGGCTACAATGTCGCTTGTCTTAAACTAGTATGGTAATAATTGGGGCTACAATGTCGCTTGTCTTAAACTAGTATGGTAATAATTGGGGCTACAATGTCGCTTGTCTTAAACTAGTATGGTAATAATTGGGGCTACAATGTCGCTTGTCTTAAACTAGTATGGTAATAATTGGGGCTACAATGTCGCTTGTCTTAAACTAGTATGGTAATAATTGGGGCTACAATGTCGCTTGTCTTAAACTAGTATGGTAATAATTGGGGCTACAATGTCGCTTGTCTTAAACTAGTATGGTAATAATTGGGGCTACAATGTCGCTTGTCTTAAACTAGTATGGTAATAATTGCGGCTACAATGTCGCTTGTCTTAAACTTGTATGGTAATAATTGGGGCTACAATGTCGCTTGTCTTAAACTAGTATGGTAATAATTGGGGCTACAATGTTGCTTGTCTTAAACTAGTATGGTAATAATTGGGGCTACAATGTCGCTTGTCTTAAACTAGTATGGTAATAATTGGGGCTACAATTATTTTGGGTTCTTTTTTTTGTTCACCCTCATTTAGAAAGGAAGACACAAAGAAATATGTGCGAACGTAAAACTAATGGACATTACAGAACGTGAATGTAAGAGAAATTACAGAACGTGAATGTAAGAGAAATTACAAAACGTGCAAGTAAAAGGAAATCCATATCTATACACAAATACAAGGTATCGTACTTATACACAAATACAAGGTATCGTACTGTATAAAAGAGATAACTATTAAGTATAAAGTAGGTATCGATGTCTAGACATCTTAATAAGTTACAAGACTTTTGTGTCAGGCACTGTCAGTCGACAGCTTATAGGTATCTCTATCTAGTTATCGTTCTTAAATATGCAAGGTGTCGTACTGGATAGTTAGAGGTAATCATTAAGTATAAAGTAGGCATCGATGTCTAGACGTCTTAATAAGTGACAAGACTTCAGTGTCAGACATTGTCAGTCGACAGTTTAAATGAGTCATCACTTGGAGTTGGAGAAATGTTCAGTTTAGAGATTAAGCCATACATTAAATAGCCTAAATAGAGTATTCTGTGAGTCATGGGGTCAGATTAGAAATTTTTTATTTATTTCCAAGACTGATTAATAAATGTGTAGTGTGGTGATGTGTAGGTGGCTGCGGTGATGGTGCGGTGGTGGGGGTGGTGCTGTGATAATGGTGTGGGGGGTCGTGATCGTGTGGGGGTGTTGAGATGATGGTGTTGGGATGATGTAGCAATGGTGTGGTGATGTGAAGAGTGTCATTGGTGAGGTGTGGTGCTGGTGTAGGATGTCGTGGTGATGGCGTCGGATGGTGCGCTGATGGTCTTGGCGGTGTGATGGTGTTGGTGTGGTTATGCGTTGATGTTGTAATGTGGGGGAATGGTGTGGTGATGGTGTAGGGCGTAGGGTGTCGTGGTAAGGTGTTGGTGGTTTGCGGATGGTGTGGGCTGGTATGTGGTATGGCGATGCGAAGTCTCACCACAATAGTTCTTAAGGGCATCCTTGTTAAACTAATATCTTTTTATTTCAGTGTGACAACGTGAGTATCTGTCCTCGCAGCCTCTTTGGATCTAATTTCTCTAGCTTCGGCTCATCTCTAAAAATCCACCCAAAAAAGCTGACATTCTATAATACGAATACATTTTTAAATAAACCCACTTCTGGCTTATCATTTATCTGTTCTGAAGCATTGAGAGTCTTCGACAGTTCAAATCTTACAAGGGTATGAAGAAAAACCATATATATACTCATTATAATGAGGCGATAACTCTGAACACGGATTTTGTAGAGTAGTGGCAGCATTGCTGATGGTGCAAACGTCGTAATTTTGATTCTTGTTCTTGCAATTTGGTTTTCAACCCTTTAAATAACCGATGAACAGTTTAGTTTGTAAGATCAGCCTATTTTAAACGTATATATTAAGGACTTTGGCGATGGTCTTTTGCTGTCCAAACTCGTAAAAATTTAATATCCTAACTGCCTATTTCCCTTAAATTTACCGATACAAAAATCTGCCTACAGGTGTTTTTTTTTTTTAAATTTACACCCCCCCCCCCCCCACAAAAAAAATTTTTTTTTTTT